CTCATCTACTTCCCGACGGCAAATGAGGTAAACTACGCGAGAGCATTTCCTACCGCCACCGTAGAATGTGGGAGACGAGCGACCTGGTATTAAGTTGCCTGCCAGAAGACGATGCTGCCCCAAAAAATTACGAAGTAACTCTCCTGATCCACCAGGCATGCGTTCCAACGATCCTATCCCAACTGCTGCACTTTGAAGGTCTGCGACGCCAGCGCCATTCTTCTGAAGGCCCATGCCGTCGTTGAGGTCACAGAACAAAGAAAGGGATGCATCGTGCAGGGATCTCGGCAATAATATCTCGAAGCCAGTTACGAAGCACCCGAGCAGTGGCAAAATAATAATTCTTCTTGACAAGACCAAATTCGCTCGGCGGGAAATACATGCCGATGCCAAGGTCCTGCCGTCCTCGCTTCAGACGAGCCGCAATGGCTCGTCCTCGTGCTTCAGCAATGGCCAACTGCGTACCATGTGGTCTTCTCGAAGCCCTCCTCCCACGATGATCGAACAACCACAGCTCGCGTTGGCCATGGGGGAGGGCCCATACGGTGCATTCAAGACGACGCGGCCAGCAATCCGTGATCTCAAGACCGAGCTTCCAGTGTAATATATGCCTGAAGTCCGCGGCCTGTGTTCCTGCTAATAGAACCGCGTCGATGTTGCGCAGCTCGGTGATGATCTCCTCCAATCACTCGCCTGTTGCGGCCTGAGGATTCCAGCCCAACACGCGTAATCTGGACATCCCCGCTGGGCCACATCACGGCGCCATGTCGGTGGCGTTCTGGCAGGAGGCGGAATATGGGTGCCGCTAACCCACGACATTCTCTAAATGCTTGAGCCCGATGGGCTGCCCATGAGGCCCCCAAGAGGTCTACAAGACGGCCCCAAAAAATCCAAGAGGGCGAAGGCCCGAATAGGCAACAAGCATTGATGTGCCTTTAGTGTTTGAAGGATTTCGGCATTTGCTTTTTTTCGGCCTTCCGACGGCCCAAGACGGCCCAAGAGCACCCCAAAATCGCCCACCCAAGAGGCCTCCGAGATGGCCCCCGAACGACCCAAAAGGCCCCGAAGACGGCCCCAAGAGAACCCCAAGACGGCTCAACAGGGCCCCAAGACGGCCCAAGAGGCCCTGAAGACGCCCAACATGGCATCGAAGACGGCCCTGGAACACCCCAACAGGGCCCCAAATCGGCCCGGAGGGGCCCCCATGACGGCTTCCGACGGCGTCTGTCTGACGGGCCAGGAATGCTTTACGGCGGTCCAAGAAGCCCCAAAAGGCCCCCAAGAGGCCCAAGGAGGCCCCCAAAATGTATCCAAGACGCTCCCAGGAAGCTCCCAAAAGGCCCCAAGAGTGCACCCTGAAGCTCCCACGATACCCCCTCCTCCTCCTCCTCCTCCTCCGGATCTTCCCCGCCATCCTCTCCCGAATGTCCCCCGAAGGGTTCTACAACGGCTGGGGGAACACATAACCCGATAGTTTGACAAAGTTCGTGCCACAACGCTCGGCCACATGGGCAATTCCAAAGGCAAGTGGCGCCCGTAATTGGCCGCGTCTTCGATACAATGCGCGCGCATTCGTTTATCACAGATCATATATGTTCGAGAACCCTCTCTGCAAAAACAGAAAAACTGCACGAAGTCCACACACGCGCGGCGTTTTTCCCAACCATCCTGTGGTGCTGGGTCCTCGCTTTGACGAGACAGTTCCCACGTTTCCACTCCTTTTTCCTCCCCCCTTCCTTCCTCCCACCTAAAGCCTCACTGGCGCGATATCCACATACGCCCACCCTATCCAACACAGCGTGTCGTGCCCACATGCGCCCCCCTCACCACCCCAACCAGCCCAGCGCGTCGTGGCCCTATAGGGGGGTCCACCGAAGGCCCCAGTGGCGGTGTCCACATGCGTCCCCCCCACCCAGCACAGCGCCTCGTGGCGCCATAGGGACCTCCACCTAAGGCCCCACTGGCGGTGTTCACGAGCGTCCTTCCCACCCAGCACAACACTTCGTGGCCCCATCGGGAACTCCACCTAAGGTCCTTATGGCGGTGTCCACAAGCGCCCCCCCCCCACCCAGCACAGCTCTTCGTGGCCCCATCGGGAACTCCAGCTAAGGCCCCACTGGCGGTGTCCACAAGCATCTCCCCCACCCAGCACAGCGCTCCCTGGTCCCACGGGGGGCTGCACCTGAGGCCCCACTCGTGGTGTCCACCTGTGCCCCCCCCCCCCTGCCCAGCACAGCGCTGCGTGGACCCATGAGAAGCTCCACCGAAAACCCCAATTGCAAAGTTCGCATGCGCCTCCCCCGCCCGCCACACCGCTTCGTGGCCCATAGGGAGTTCCACCGAAAGCGATACCCACGACCGCGGCACTCACAACTGCAAGTGGTTGGCTAAATCGCCAGGCTAAAGCAGAGGCGCAGCAAATAATTCAACCGAACACATATGAACAAACGATTACCAACAATACGACCCCAACAAATCATCGCGCGCGCTTTTAAGAATTCTTGCGACAACCATGAGTTGTTTGTTTTTCATCGTTTACACCGACTGAAACCTCGCGGGCCTCTCGCGCGCGCATGGCGAAATCATTCGAACGCCTTTGCGCGCTTGTCCCTGTCAAGTGATAAAATGCGGGCCACTCGCGCCCGTCGGCCGCGCACGCATGTCGAAATTTTCCAACACCTTCATCGCCGACACGTGGACACCAACATCGTCATCGGCGTGACCAGCATCGGCGCCGTCATTTTCCCTGCCGTCATCAACGCCATCATCGTCACAACTATCGCTACTACAATCATCATGTCTTCTGCTGTCAACGTCGCCATGCTACCGCGCGCGCCCGAGTCACCGACGCGCGCTGAAGTGCTCGCGCGCCCGCGCGGCCGGCGAGACGCGCCGGGAAACCCCAGCGGTCACCGCCACCGCGGCCGCGTCGGTCGCGCCAATCGTCGCCGCACTGGTTTGCAAAACTCAGCTGCGGGTGGGTGGGTGGGCTGACTGCACGAGTAGTGGAACTGACAACTTCAAACTTGGCAGGGCCAATCGAATGCACCACGTAGACAGCACCACACACATTGCGCAACATATATCATCCAGACTAAAAAGGCATTGGGATATACCACCACCCTCCCCCCTTGCTTATCGCCTCACCATGGGATGTGCGATGTACATAAGACGTAATACCATCTTTCATGTTACACATGAGCTCATATCATCTCAGCCAAACCAGTATCTGCACTCACCCATCCCCATCTTCGCCGAATAATGCGAAGCGCGCGCACTCGTTTATCAAAAACCGCCAACTGTCGATGATATTGTGCAACAGTCTAGCAGAAGGCCACACGCGCGCGGCGTCGCACGCGCATCAGGCAACCCTTCTTAGTATAGCGCAACGCAGATGTCGCAACGAATCCAAAATCGAATTCCCGAAACCCTTGAAACAAAAACAGCGGTGTCGCGATACGACGTTTCAAACATGTCCGCGCGCGCTTTAGCGAATTGTTGAGAAAAACAATTATTTCCAACGTGTTCGTCGGACTCGACAAAGCGGGGGTCTCGCGCGCGCATGTCAAATTCATTCGAACGCCTACGGGCGCGTGCTGGGGAACGTCGATACGATCTCTGGCAAATGATAAAATGCGGGCCACTCGCGCCCGTCGGCCGCTCGCGCATGTCCAACTCTTAACAACACCTTTCATCGCCGACACGTGGACACCACCATCGTCATCGGAGTGACCAGCATCGGCGCCGTCAATTCCCCTGCCGTCGTCACTGTCGCCATCGCCACGAGCATCGCCACCGTCATTATCATGTCTGCCGTTGTCGACGTCGCCATGATACCGCGGCCGCCCGAGCCACCGACTCGCTCCGAAGTGCCCCCAAGTCAGCACGGCCTGCGAGAAGCGCAGGGAGCCTCCCAGCGGCCAGCACCCTCGTGGCCGCGCCGGTCGCGCCGAACTAGCTGGCCGGTCAGCGCGCAAGCCTCCGCACGCTACCGCGGCCGCAGCGATGCGCCAGCCAGCGCCAAGCAGTCATCGCAATCGTGGCCGCATCGTTTGCAAACCGAGCTGCGGGTGTGGGTGGGATGCTTGCGCGAACGCTGGAAGAGACAACTTCGAATCCAACAAGGTGAACGTCGGCGTCAGCGTCGTCGTCGTCTTCGTCGTCATTGTCGGCGTCGTCGTCGTCGCCGCCGTCGTCGTCGTCGTCGTCGTCGGCGTTGTTGACGTCGTCGTCGTCGTCGTGGGCGTCGTCGTTGTCGTCGTCGTCGGCGTCGTCCGTCGTCGTCGTCGTTGTCATCGTCGTCGTCGTCGGCGTCGGCGTCGTCGTCGTCGGTGTCGTCGTCGTCGTCGTCGTTGTCGGCGTCGTCGAAGTCGTTGGAGACGTCGTCGGTGTCGTCGTAGTCGTTGTCGGCGGCGTCGTAGTCGCCGTTGTCGCTGTCGTCGTCGGCGTCGCTGTCGTTGGCAAGTGCCATTTGGTACCCACCGTCACGGTCTTAAGAGATTTTGCGAACCAAGTTGCGGGTGGGTGGGTGGGATGTTTGCGCGAGCAGTGGAGTGGTCAAGCGCGGTGCAGGGTAGTCAACTGCACCGCATAGATTGCACCACATAGGTTGTTCCACAACATAAAATTGCACCACATAGATTGCGACGCCTATACTGCAGCACGTATGGTGTTCCACAGATGTTGTGCACTTCAGACGATCCTCGTAGTGATTATCGTTAAGCATTAGCTTCACAAATCGTTGTATGTGTCCCCTTCCTCGCCCTCCTCATCCTGCTCTTCCCCTCTCGTCCTACAGCTCCTCAATGTCCCCCTCCTCTCCTCCTCCTCCGCCGTCCTCCTCGTCCTCTTCCTCCTCCTCCTCCACCGTCCTCCGCCGTCCTCCTCCTCCTCCTCCTCGTCCTCCTCCTCCTCCGCCTCCTCCTCCTTCTCCTCCCCCGTCCGCCTCCTCCTCATCCTCGTCGTCGTCGTCCTCCTCCTCCGACCGGCGGGGGGGGGGCCTGCAGCAGTCTCAGGATGAAATCCAACGCGCCCTTGGACACGTTCTTCCACGCCTCGAGCTGTGCGGCACTCGTGCGGGGGAGAGGACGAGGACCAGGGCGAGGCGGACGAGGTGGGCGAAGCTGGCGAGGGACGGACCCCAGAAGACCTGCCGGGGGCGGCCCCCTCACGCCGCCCGCTCACGACACGGCGCCGCCTCCCGCACCAGTGATTTCCCCCAAGTTGGTTCTGCACGATCTTTGCTTGGCTCCCACGACATTGATCGGGAGATGGTCGGCATCTCCGATCCCTGATCTGATCTGATTGCCCATGGGGGCTCGCTCCCTCCACTGGAGGCATCCTCGAGACCTTGGTTCTCCATTCCGGGAGGAGCGGACATGTCATGTGCTTCCACGCCTCCCTTCGGGTTATTCTGACGAGACCGTCCAACGACGCGTCGAATTTCGCACTCTCGCCACAATTACTCTGCTTACTGGAATGACTGCTCCTTTGGTGATCACAATGACTAGCTGTGTCAGATTCCATGCCCATCATCCGCCACCGTGCCGCTGGGCACGGAGTGGGCGCGTCCTCAGGTCCCTTGCCCAGTCCCCTGAGCCTAAGTCCTCTGCCCTGAGGATGTTTAAGGGCCACGGATCTCAATGTCCGAAATCTATTTGGGTTTGGGGCGTGCCCCCTGGATTTTGGGAAGCGGTGGAGCGTGATTGCGTTCGGCCCAGGAGGCCTCAAGAGGGCCCCAAGAGTCGCGCGGGGAGACGCGATTGGGCCCCGAAAATCCTCCAAGACGCCCAAGATGAACTCGGGACGGCCCAAAAAGCCCCCAAGACGCCCCAAGAGACCTCCAAGCGGCCTCCAAGAGGCCGCCCAAGCCCCGAGAGGACCTCCAAACGGCACAAGAGGGCCCCCAGACGGCGCAAGAGGCACCCAAGACGGCCCATGATGGCCCCGAGACGGCCCCGAAAAGGAGCCCAAGAGAGGGAGCACGACAGGAAAATCCTAGCCTTCCGCCCCGAAAGGCTCCGAGGAGACCCCCAGAGGCGCCCAGGAGGCCCCAAGAGGCCCCCACGAGGCCCCCAAGAGGCCCCAAAACGGCCTCCACGAGGCCTCAAACTGCCTCTAAAGGGCACCCGATGGACCCCCCGCGATATCCCAACGAATATCCACTAGGCTTCATATCCACAACCCAGGCACGTTGGCGGGATGGGCGGAAGGCCATCGATACTTTCGGCTGATTGCCTGTCTTTCGCCAAATATCAACATACCCTGAGGAATGAGCGCCTCCATTGCTCTGATCTCCTAAACCTGGGGATCCCTTCACATGTGTCTCGTAGATAGATGAGCTTTCAAAGATGTCGTTCCACATAGCTGCAGGATTAAGTAGAAGTGATATTGGAGAGTGACATGCGCGCGCTAAGAGAGAGAGAGAGAGAACAAAAAACAAAACAACAATCTTTAACAAACAAAACAATATATCCTGGCGAAGGACCCAACCATATGCAGTTGTGAGTACCGATATTGTGAATATCTTCTTCGGTGGCGCTCCCTCTGGGGCCACAAATCCACGAACCGCATGCGAACGCAACCACTGGGGCCTTCGGTGGAGCTCCCTATGGGGGCACGAAACGTGTCAGGGGTGTGCCGAAAGGGGGGTGGAACCGCATGCGAATGCAGCCACTGGGGCCTTCGGTGGCAAAAAAAAAGCAACGAGACAAAGAAAAAAAGGAAGAAAATATAAGCAAGTAAGAAACACAAGAATCAAAAAAAAGGAAAGAATAAAAAAAAAGGAGCTCCCTATGGGGGCCACGAAACGTGTGGGATGCGTGCCGACATGGGGGCGGAACCGCATGCGAACGCAGCCACTGGGGCCTTCGGTGGAGCTCCCTATGGGGGCCACGAAACGTGTGGGATGCGTGCCGACATGGGGGCGGAACCGCATGCGAACGCAGCCACGGGGGCCTTCGGTGGAGCTCCCTGCAGGGGCCACGGCCTGGCGCCCTCGCCGGAGAGCCCTCGGCGGCCTGTGCTGGTCGCTCGGTGCCGTTGTCCGCGGTCCTCGAAGGGGGATGGCCTCACGGGGACAGCTTGCGTCTCGGAGATCGATGTCGCACGCTATCTTTCCGACGCCGACCGTAGCCCACTTCGTTCAAAGAAGAAAAAACCACATGAACATAAAACTTTTGGCGCTCCGCGCGGATTTCGCGGATCCGCGCCTGGGGGCCCCCTGGCGGCGCCTCTGGCGCCGCCCCCGGCGCGCTCCGCGCGCCAGGGAAGGGGGTCCAGCGCGGATCTCAGAAGTCCGCGCGGAGCGCCAAAAGTCTATGTTTATGTGGTTCTGTCTTCTTCGAACTAAGTGGGCTACGGTCGGCGTCGGAAAGATAGCGTGCGACATCGATCTCCGAGACGCAAGCTGTCCCCGTGAGGCCATCCCCCTTCGAGGGGGCCCAGATGTGCACGCCATCCCCCATACAGCCCCGCCGGAGAGCCCTCGGCGGCAAGTGCTGGGAGCTCGGTGTTGTCGCCCACAGCAGACGGAGGGCGTCGAGTCGAGTCGAGACGCCATGCGCCAACTGGCGCGTGGGCGGGGAAAACAGTTTTCAAGATAGACCGAAGAGGAAGAGGAGGAGGAGGAGTAGGAGGAGGAGGGCACCACGGGAAGAGGTGGAAGGGGAGGAGGAGGAGGAGGAGGAGGAAGGATGCAGGACGGATGAGTGGTACCAATAGGAGGCGGAGAGATGAGGAGGCTGATTAGTAGTAGGCTGAGGCGGCGTAGGAGGAGGATGAGGAGGCAGGAAGCAGGATGAGAGGTATGAGGAGGAGGAAGGGGAGGAAGAGGAGGTGCGCCTGTAAAATGAAGAGGAAGAGGAGGGCACCGCGGGCGTGGCGCAGGGAAGCGGGGCGCAGCACGGCTGCGAGGCAGAGAGCGGATCATGCGGAGGGAAGGGTGGGCTAAACGTGGAGTGCGGGCACCTGTCTCGGATCGGTCCCAAGCGAGAAGAAAGAGAGGCCCACGCGCTTCGCCCCCAGGGGCTCTTCGAGTCAAGTCGCCAACGATGCAGCGTCGAACGGGCCTCGTCGACAATGGGACCAGGGGCGGGGCGGAGAGATGCAGTGTGCAGTGGGGGTTCGCGACAGAGCCCATGCCCAGGTTGGGCGTCGCGGCGCACACCTCTGACACGTAAACGGCGCGCCCAACCGCGCACGCGAGCTGCGAGTTCTCCCTGCGCGAACCGCCGGCGCGGTCGCGGAACAGCGTTACGGCGCGCGCTGCCATGTTCGCGAAGGGGGGACAGCGGCCCTCAGGGTGGCGCCAAGAATCCCTTCTGCTGCCAGGGGGGCCCACAGCATACGCCTCCGCCGAGCGCCCATCGCCCGCCGCAGCCAGGCGCCTGGAGGGGGGGGGGGACGGAGGGGGAGGAGGGGGGAAAGGGGGCGGGGGCGAGGAGAGAGGGTGGGTGGGGGGCGAGGAGGGAGGGGACGAGGAGCAGGAGGAGGTCCGGGCGGGAGGGAGATCGAAGGGAAGGCGCGCACCTGGAATGACGCTGACCCGGCGCGGCTCCTCGTCCTCATCCACCTTCCATACTTCTCCTCCTCTTCCTTCGTTACGGGCCCAAAGGCTGATGCCGGCCCTCGGCTCGCGCAGGGGCGTCCGCGGTTCCTTCCAGACTCCCCTAGAGATCCCTGGATTGACGCAGTCTCTCTGGATTGGAAAGAAGTCGTCAAAAAAAAAAAAAAAAAAAAAAAAAAAAAAATTAAAAAAAAAGAAATATAAAAAATGAAAAAAAAAAAATAGAAAAAAAAAACAAAAAAAAAAAAATAAAAGAAAAGCCCTTAGGGGTTTCCCCCCGCGCCGGCATATGCTCCAGATCCTGCACGTGTTCCGCAACGGAGAGGACGAAGAAATCAGGAGGAGGAAGAGGGTGGGAGCGATATGGGGGGAAGAGGAGGTTGATGAGAAGGGAAGGACGGACGATGGAAGAGAAGGGGGGAGGGGAAAAGGAAGACGACGACGACGGAGGAAAAGCCTCCACGCCCCACTTTTCCCTTTATAGCCCGCCCCCTCCTCCAGCGGGCGGGCTCGCCTGCTCTGGGAAGCTCAGGTCCCGCTCGACAAT